TATAATAACCAATCAAATTGATGGTCTACATAAACACCCAGTAAGCACGTGTTCGACCGATACATGTGTTATGGTAACTCCAATGATGATAACATGATAAATTAATAATTATTGACCAATTCTTTGAAATACATGCTTTACAGAAACAGGAACCATCTAACTCTCTCTCTGTTGTAACTTTAATTAAAAAATCTCCATTTCGGTGTAACTTATGTTGTTTGTCACAAAGAGTGGGGTGTCCTAAACATTACGATGAATATTTCTTTTTCGTTTCTAAAGAAATGGGCGTGTCATTATGTTATAATTGACGTTCAAAACATGACTCAGAACGTTTCATCCGAACAGAAAATTTTACCACTTCAATGCGCTTCATTGTAAGATGTTTTCTAATCCCGAATGTTGTTTTAATTTTGCCAATTTCTTTGGTACTTAGTGTACATTGTATGGATTAGACAAATTTCACAATACAGGTAACTCTCGATACCTCGAAGTCCGTGGGACTGAGGAAATACTTCGAGAGATCAAGAGTTCAAGTTTTCAAGAGTCCGGAATTTTCCGGATTTGTTTGGCAGGTTTTAAAATTAGTCTTACTGGATATAATGATTTTCATGCAGTGTTAACTTTTCACACGTAGTTTTCATAAACAACGATATGATTTCGTATTTTAGATGAATATTCATTAATCTGAGTAAAGCTAAAATTGTACATCGTCATTTTATGTTTATTTTTTTGCGTGGACCCTGCGGTCCATGCAGTAAATATATAAGCGAGGCTAAACAGGATGCCATGGGCAAACGACAGGCTACGCATGCGCGAATATGCTAGAGAGTTCGCACCTTAGGCAACTTGCCCGTAGAATAATTCGCCCTATTCGAGTTAGAATCAATGCCATTTATTGGCAAATCGCGCATATCGCATTTATATATTTAGGGGCAGATCCGAATTTTTCTCTTATACGTACACTTTTATTGATTCTACATGTTCTATGGCACAAGTATTTCAAAACGTATGAAGAACTTGCGGTATATCAATACATGTAACTTAACAACTTGAATGAAAAACGTCAACCAAAGACTAGTTAAAGCTTTTAAAAGATAAAACAAGTTTTCACCGGCATTAATTTTGTGCATCAAGGCTCGCAAAATAATTTGATATTTCAATCATCCAATTACCGTCTAATAGAGGTCGGTAGCAACGGTTTTTAATGTTTGGGGGGTCTGAAAAAAATCTGAGTACTTCAGAGCTGTGCCACACGTGAAGCATCAGCCCTTTTTTACCATGATAGATTTCTTCCGTATAAATCGGGGATAAAATTATACAATTTTGCATTTAGACTACAATCCATTGGCGTCGGAAGCAAATTAAAGGGGGGGGGGCTAAGTTTAAAAAAAAAAACAATATGCCTTCAAAAAAAACAGACAAGCAAAAAATAAACAACAAACAAACAAAAAAGGGAAATCTCCTTTTCCCAAACACCTAAACCTACGCAGAATGTTCAATGTCTATACTAAGTTTATATTTGGAAAAAAAGGGCTAAGCCCCCCCCCCCCTCCCGGTTCCGACCCCTATGCAATCAGTCACAAGTTGGCAGATTATTGTATTAAATGTGAACAAACCTACATGAATAGTCACTCCACCTAGACTTTTTTTATTAACGAATTTCGGTTAGAAACACATGCATATGGTCCACGTATTGCAGTCCTTTTTTAAAGGACGGCAACTTGTTCTTCTTTATAATACGGATATCATACTACGCATTTTACAGCGACGCATGGTACATAGCATTTTGATTTTTCCAGACACGTGCATTGAACAAAGTTCTGTATTACAGTAAGTATTTGTCCAACAATAGTCGTCATATTGACACTGAGGCTGTTTCTGGATTTTTATTTCGTTAAACTTTGACACTGACTCGAAATAAAATTTAAATTTACTAAGCGTTTTGTCTTGTAATCTGCAATTACAATTTCTCAGTGACACTGCGTTTTTAAATCATCCTAATACAGTCGATGATAATTATTTTAATAGCATATAGGCAACATAAGATTAATTATAAATCAATTATCACCTTGCAGTATAAGTGTCATCTGAATAAACATCCCGTTTCACGAGACCCACGTCTTCTGCCTGGGGCCATTAAATGTCCAGGTAAAGTTGCTAATTATGTAACTTGTATACACAAAGCAACTTCGAGGTATCGAGGGTAAATTTCAATAGAATATGCATAGTGGGACTGCATTTTGACTTCGAGAGATCAAGGGTTTCGAGAGATCAAGAGTTCGAGAAATCAAGAGTAAATTTGCTTAGTTGTATAGTGGAAAAAATCGGGACCGGAAACTCACTTCGAGCGATCAAGAACTTCGAGAGATCGAAGTTCGAGCCATCAAGAGTTAACTGTACCATATTTTATTCTAAAACATGTTTAATAAATGGAATGTTTAATAAAGATTCCAATTGCAAGAATTAATACAAGTTTTATCATTTTTGGTTGAATGGTATTTGAGAGGCTAATGTTGCAATTTCACATTAGGCCATATAAAATTAATCTTTAGATTCTCATCCCCGCCCGCCCCTCTCAAAATGTCCCGCCCCGATGTTTTTTATTTTGATTTTTGGGTATTTTCATGTATTTTTATTCAGTAAGAATTTGGTTCAAAGTTTAAGAGTTATCTCCCGTCTGTATTAAAAGTCGCGTGTCGCTATTAATAGCAAAAACGCCATGTGAAGAATGGAGAAAAATTGGCAATAAAAGAAGTTTAAAAAGTGACTTTGCTTTGAAATAAACAAAATCTACAACATCGTAGACAGACTTATGAGAAGGCCTAGATTTTTCAGTAGAATAATTATTAGAACATTTATATAGATTTTGCAAAATAAAAAGTCACGCATCCCTACCTCATTTTGTTCAGGGTGTGCCGTATAACGTGTACTTGATAACTTGCTAATTAACAATAAATATTTAATTTGTAAAGCAAAAATTTTCTTTAAATATTTAAAAGAATATGAAAAGAATTAAATCTATTCATATTTGCATTAAGGTAATGAAAAAAAAATGTGTATGTGGCATCCATTGTTTTGTTGATACGTAGGCCTATATATAAATTAACAATTATAAAAAATAAAAAATAAAATCCGCCCACCCGCCCCAATTTTTTAGCAAATTAGGATGAGAATCTAAAGATTAATTTTACCTGGCCTTATTTTCACTTTTATTTCTGGATAATATTGATCTTTGGTATTAAGGCAATATTGAATAAATTTCCTTTACCAAAGGATACTTTTCACCAAGACCAGTTTGGATTTAACTGGCGCTTAGTTCCAAAGGAGAGGTCAAATCATGAAAATAAATTTTGGCATGACAGATAAGGCCATTCCAAGTTTTTTCTCTGTTTAGCGTCCACCCATCTTTCAAAAACCTACCTACCTATTCGCAAAAAACACACAAGCCAAAACATAAAACACAGGCTTAAAAGTCTTAAAAATGACGCCCTTCAAATGATTTGATCTAAAGGCCCTGTCACACCGACCTGCGTTCACACGGAGTCATTACGGCGTTGTTAAATTTTTAAAATCGCCGTGGAATCACAGGAAAATTGCACAAATTTCTGTAAAATTTTCACAATGTGAAGACTGCGCTGGCTGCGTTCACGATACGTTCACAATGCGTTCTATACTCATTGATATATATATTAAGAAGGAATGTAAAACATTTTTGTTTAAAGATTCAAGTTACACGATGAAAAGACTTCTTATCATGCCAAGAAAAATTCTTAATAATTAAAAATGTTCTAATTAAATAATTTAGCACTAAATTATTTATACTTTTATGATAAAACTCCTTTTTTTCTCAATTTTATCAGTTCAGATGTGTTGTTAAATTTTCTTTGATTTTATTATGAACGTAAAAAAAATAAACACACTGAAAAGTTGTCTACAAAATTTAAGTGAAACAACAGAACAAGTTCTGGTGTAATTTTCTCTTCCACGTTTTACTTAAAATGCTCCTAGTGAATCAAATACGTTGGAATTATGATCCCATTGCTGGCTAACAACGCTCTAACTACGCTGTGAAAGTGCACTGTGATCGCCAACGGACGCTGTAGAAACGCCACGGGAGCGCAACGATCTGAGTGACAACTCCATGCTGTCGCCGTGTAATCACTGTCTAAAAAATCACAAGACGATAAATCTCATTAGAAGCGCCGTAAAAACGCAATAGAAACGTAGTGACATCTCCAAGGACTCCGTGACATCTCCATGAGGTCTCCGTGGAAGTGCAGTCTTCTATCACTGCGTTCGTGTCGCGATTATGTGCGTCTTCACGGCGTTCGTACGGAGCTCCCACTACGTTGTTGGAGATCTCACCGCGCTGCTATGGCGATCATACTACGTTTCTACTGCGTTCTTATCAGACCGCGATCACACGGCGCGTACTTTGTGCATGCCCAAAGTGATCACCGTCCTCTGGCGTTCTATGAGACCCTACGGCAATCAGTTGAGATCTCACCGCGTTGTCACGGCACTGTAGGAGACTCTACTGCGATCACCTCGGCGTTTTGCATTTTTAGAGGACGCCGTGCAGTCGCCGTGAGGACGCAGCCCCAGTATGACAGGGGTTTAACTAAACTGCTTTCATGGAAGAAATATCTATTCTTAAGCAAAAACAAGGGATTAGATACTTAAAATACACCTAATATAACTTACTGTACAGAATTATTTGGAGAAATTGACAAAATTAAAAAAATATCTATTCTTAAGCAAAAACAAGGGATTAAATACTTACTGTACAGAATTATTTGGAGAAATTTACAAAATTAAAAAATTTCGACTAAATTAATCAATTTCAGGACTCCTGATGTTGTGTGTTTTTTCTTACATGGGGTGTCAAAAACCAAGGCACACGCGGACGCTAAACAAAGAAAAAACTTGGAATGGCCTAATGATGGAAAAAACAGATAGCATTTGGTCCTTAACTTTAAAACACAATTTTAAGTGCTAACCTTGGATGTCGGATTCTGTTGGATTGTACAGTTTGGCTGAGGATCCATGATCTCGCAGTGGCCAGTCCTGGCTGTCCATTCCAGAGTACAGTTAAGTCAAGACAAGCTCACAAAGCCATCTGTCTGGACTTTAATCCTGTAATGATTCATTAAACCATTCTGACAGTGTTCCTACAAGCAGGCTCAAAGATAAGAGAATAAAATCACACTTCATTTCAGGTGTAGCCATCAATACTTTAACTTTACTCAAGGAAATCAATAAGCTATTTTTGGGATGTCTAGACCCAACAAACTTAGTAAAAATTGGTGATCAGGATCATGCAGTTTAATTTCTCTCTTTGTTTTATTTGTCATCCACTGAAAGTGAGCTAATTCTGGTTTAATGTGTGATATCTAGTTGTTAACTTAATATAAAGAGATAATGAGGTTAATTCTTTGTATTTTTAATTTTTCATGATTGGGAGATTTTTCAGCATCATCCATTACATTCCATTAAACCAACTTCAGTAGCCAATCCAATCACTGAAATGAGGAATTGCATATTTATTATGTGCTCCGTATATAACAGAGTTCAAAGGAGCCATGTAATCAATGTACAATCAGATAAAAGCTCACATCAGAAATAATGAGCACTGACTGAGCAATGCTGAATAAACTGTGAATAAAGAATTCAAAGCTCTGAAATATCTTCTCAGTCATAGAGAGTTCAAATACCATGGTACTTTTATACAGTTGCAGGAAAGAAGAAGTGTCTGCATTGGAAATTGAACCCAGAACCCCTGCATCTCTAGTCACGCACTCTACCCACTGATCTCTTCAGACCAACATCCATGACCCAAACCATTACATCCCTCCTTCCTTAAACAAACTTTGTCCCCGAAGACACAACCCAAGTTCTTATTAGCTCCTGCCAAGATTTAATTTACCTGCAAGTCCAGAGGTGGTAAACAGCACAAAATTATATGTTAAATAAACACAGATGTATGGCTGGACCAGGAATTGAACCCAGGACCCTAGCACCACTAGTCCGATTGAGCTACACAGGCTGCTATCTACAGCCAAAACCATTATAGAGTTAGTCTCAGAGATTTGTTCTTTGACGTTACAGAAATACTGAGTAAATGAATTAATGACACCATTTGAAGGTATTAAATAATTCTTTAACAGATTAATATTAGACCACGATATAATAATTGAAAACATTATCAGTGTGAACATCCATAGGTAGGCCTAAATGACATGGATTTCTCACTAATACTTCATGATAAATTCAATTGTTTTAAAACAGTTTTCTTTAATAAAAATATTGGCAGGTATATGTACCCTATGCTGAAAATGATCTAGATTGAACTCATGTATAATCATTCAGTATCACTATGAACCAAGAAGACATTTATAATTTTTTATCAAAATCTGAAAAATGATTTGAAAAAGATTTATATCTATATTTGTGGTTTTTATAAGGAAGCAATATAAGAGGTTTAACATGACATGATCATCAGAGGAACATGATCACAGACTGATCATCCATTGTCTTAACAGGTCAATGACTTACATATTGAGCTCTTTCTAGACATCACTTCAGATGCTTAGTACCTAGGCAACTGAACTAGAGAGCTGAGATTTAGGGCCACCTGAAATTGGGGTTCATGGTCCATATATCTCACAACTAGCCAAGAGAAAGTTGCCCACATGAAACATGTGGTTAGAAAATTCACCATAGGGTCGGAGGGGAGTAGAACCTTACCTCCCGTGTTCAAATCCCACTGCAGAATGTGGAAATTGGTCCTTTGAATGAGAATGTATAATCTAAGGTCACATGTCACAGAAGGTCCTGGCAGGAAAAAGATCCTTCCCCTTACAGAAAAAACTAATAGAAACTTATAAGTGTTTTATAATCCACTTATTAGCAACTTATAAATCACTTATAAATTTTGAAATTTACTTATAAGTGTACTATAAGTCAAAGTAAGTATAAGTGAGTAACGGATTTTGTTAATACTTCACTTATAAGTAAAGATGAGCTACATATCAGTGAATAGTTCACTTATACCTCACTTATAAGTGAAGATCAGTATGGTATGAGCGAAGTATAAGTGTGGACTTAGAATTTTTACCCTATACTAGACTTCTCTCAATGAGCATTATGGGTATTCAAGGTAGCCAATCAGAAAGTTTGTCTCTGCAGAGATCAGCAACAGCAAGAATTTGAAACCAAGTTTCTGTCTGTGAAAGGATGTTGGAGATTTTAGATTTATTTTGAGTATGCCTTCACATCAGGTACAACAAGTAGGTTCTATTTACATCATCTCTCTATTTTAACTTCCTTTGCCTGAAATTTTGAATCAATTGACTCAGTTGCTTTCAGATTTCATAAATTTGAAGAAGCCTCAAGGTCATTAAATCTTGTTGCCTTTTTGCTCAACATTTTTGTTTGTAAACTGAATTAATATGTTAAGTTTGCATCATCAAAGAAATGTCATATGAAAGTGATTTTTTTCCATAAAATGTTTACTTGATTATTTCATCTAAAGTGCAGATACATGTGTATATGTAAAAAATAGCTTTGAACATATCATGCAACCCCTGCATGGTTGGAAGTTCTGTTCTAAATTAAGATCTTACAGGTAGTGTTGTACTTCACTTATAAGTCACTTATAGTCACTTATAAGTGACTAATACTTGATAAAGTATGAAGGGTTAATGCTTGACTTATAAGTCACTTATAGTCACTTATAAGTGACTATATTTGCATAAAGCATAAGTGGCTAATACTGGCTTATAAGTCACTTATAGGTCAAGCAGCTCATTTGCATATAAAATCCTAATGAGTAACATATTAGTCACTTATAAGTTAAATGTATCAGTGAAGTGTAAGTCCAGAATAAACAACTTATAAGTAAAAGAATAAATCACTTATAAGTCACTTATCAGAAATTTCTGTAAGAGATCTCTGCTCAAAGACCTTGGTATTGAGTATATAGGTCTAAATTTGCAGCTCAATCTCTTTATATACATGTATTGGTAACTTTTTTAAAAAGTGAAAATTTCTAGAAAGGAATGTTAAACAAAAAGAAACACTTAACCATGAATCAATTTATACCACAATTCACACATATACATGTGCAGTCAGGGTTTGTCGAATGAACTACATGTAAATCAGTTTTTTATACTAAACACTTTTGTTGATTGCTGTCCCCCTAGTTCAGGGATGACACATTCTGCACTAGTTGACTCTGTAAACAACGTAAAAATCCAAGAATTTAAGAGTACAAGGTTCTTTATGATTTTCAACTACAACACCAGATTTCTTAGAAATGATATTCCCCTAGTCTAGGACAATATTTACAAGCCTTATACGCTACCAGACTTAAGTATGTTGATAGAATGCACAGAAAGAGTGAAAGATGAGCATCTGTCATCTGTTCTGGTTTACAATTATTATTTTAACCCCCCCCCCCCCCAAAAAAAAAATATTTCTGCTCTTACATCTTACATGTAAAGTTTCAATCAATTGGTCTAATATAAATTAAAATAAGTGAATTGCTTAAAACCAACAACCTGTGTATTCTGTAATAATTTTTATTGGTTTGGGCTATGGATATCAGCCTGGATAGCTCAGTAGGTAGAGCACCTGACTAGAGATGCAGGGATCCCGGGTTAGATTCCCGGTTCAGCCATACATTTTCTCCTTTCCTGTTACAGATTTGGTGCCATTGACCTCCCCTGGAATTGTAGGTGAAAGTCCTGCCAGGGGGTAATAAGAACCTAGGTTGTGTCTTCGAGGGTGCAGACCATTTAAGGAAGGAGGAATGTAATGGTTTGGGCTGTGGATATCGGCCTGGATAGCTGTTGGTAGAGCACCTGACTAGAGATGCAGGGGTCCGGGGTTCGATTTCTGGTCCAGCCAAACATTTTCTCCTTTCCTGTTACAATTCCATTGCAGTTGCATGATACACATTTAAATCAAAAGTTGGATTGATACCTTATCTGCATTGACATTGGAACTCATTAGTGAGCAAGGACCAGAAGGTCATTCACATTTTCTTCCTCCGCATATCAACATGAGTTTATGTCAAACAAAATGCCTCCATGGGTAATAACTTTTTAAAGTCCTAATGGTGGCAGTTTGACTTTTTATCACTTTTTAACATCACTTCAAATGACATTAAACAATGGCCTTTACCAAATACAAGTTCAGTTTCTGTTTTACAGTTCAAATGTCATTTTAAAAAAATTAAGTTCCTCTCACATTAATAAAATTAAATGTACAAGGAAAATGTTCTTTGGGACATACAATTTAATCAGGCATTAACTGATAATTTTAAGGCATACATGTACAATTTATATGCAGAGTCAAACCTTTTCCTTATACAAAATAAATTGCTATTAATTTTACAACTCTAACACAGGTAGTGAAATTCAAATTTTCGCTTTCCTATTTAATTCTCTTTCCATCTGATTAACAGATAATAATTTAATTTTGGTTGTAATGCGTCATTTGATTGGATAAAAAATTAATCTAAATTGTATAATCTGGTTGCCTACGTCACAATGACTTACGTCAAAAACGTATCAATCAGCTTGACCTTACGTTTAAAATATGAACAATTTGAAGGCGTTTTAAGAGAGAAATTGTCCTGTTTTATATACTTAATGATTGAAAATTAAATTATAAAGAATGAATTAAATAGCAACCCAAATCATACTGCTATAACCTGGGTTGGAGCAGTTTACGCTTTTTTTCATAAACCTGCTTCGTGGTTTATAAAGCATAAACTTACCCAACCCAAGTTATACAGTACAATTTAGGTTGCTATTAAATTCATTCCTTGAAGAAATATTGTCATTTTTAACTTTAAAAATTGATTTTCAATTTCCTAGTCATTTTCGAATTTTATTGATCTTAGCAATATCTTAGTAGCGATGTTTTATGTAATCATTTGAAGCAAGCTCAGTAATTATTGAAGCTACAGAGTTTTTTTTCCCCTTTTCTTTTCCATTTTTGCGAATTTTTAATTAACCAAACTATTAAAAATGCACAAAACAAACATGTACGCATGCATTAAAATCAATCTTCTTAAAGCAAATGCAGGGATAATCAAGGCTTTTTAAATCAAATAAAATGCCAATTTTAAAAGTCAATCTTCCACCCCTTATTTCAAATTCTTTTTTTGTACATTTTTTACATGAAGCATGTTTAGGTAGATTAAATTTGCCAAGTATGTACAGTGTGCTACCTTATGGAAATGTGATAAGATTGTTGAAGTGTTCAAGTATTCATTGTGTAATTGATTAGAAAAAAAAATGTTTCCCTTTAAATGAAGTTCAAATAAAATTAATTTAGAAAAAAGGGGTTTCTTCGTTACATGAACTAAAAAAAACCCCAGTCTACTAGCGGGTAACATGGTACAATAGAATGGAATACTTATTCCACCAATTTTGGTTCACATCAATTTGGAGCATAGATGCTTAAAATGTACATTATAATTTAAAGCAAATTTATAACAACTGTAACCTCTTCTTGGTTTAATTTGCTTGTACCCAATTATCAGATGGGATTCTTCCTTTACAACATTATGTCAGGAATTGACACCCCCCCCAAAAAAAAAAAACGCACACAAAAACGACATGATTAGACTAAATTGTACTGCCAATATGCCCTTGGTAACATGTAAGGTGAACCACCGGCGCTATCTGGTTTTTAACAATGTACACAATAATTAGGAGACACGTGTTTGGTTTTTTAAAAAAATTTTATGACAAAAGAGAGAGAGAGAGAGAGAGAGAATTTAACAAGACCTCGAATTCACCTTCAGCTCTAATGGAACACTTTCCAGAATCCTTGACTTCACAATAAAACAATATAAAACCGGCAGAATTTTACTAAAATCAATACATTTCTATTTGCCAAATAATTTGGCTCCAAACTTAGGACACAACATCCGAGAATGACCTAATCCCAACTCCAATACAAAACCAAAACTTTTCAATGTAATCAAGCGAACACTGAAGAAAGAGGCATTCACACCGTAACATTGTACTTACCCTGTTATACACTGTTACAGCTCTAGATTCCAGACAGGCCGCTACCACGTGAAGCTGAAGTTACTTCCGCCTCACACTTCCTTTATACTCAATAAACTGATAAACCGCTGACTTTTAAATGAATGGTTTTACGCAAAATTTGTATCCTTTTTGTATTGTAATACGAAAAAACCCACGCGTATGTTACAGAATTTTTACTATGAAACCAATTCTGGCATATTGCCGTTAGCGGCTTGTGATAATGTTGGTGATTTTCAGTTACAGCCGATTTATTTTATTGACAGTACAGATGTGGTTATACCGAGAATTGTCAACATCTGCAGTTTGCAGGTGTTGTTTTTTTTTTTTTCTGTGTACATTAATTTTTTTTTTACACAGGTACAGATCGAAAGTATACTGAAAAAAAAATTAAAATGAAAAAAGACACATTTTTTTCCTTTGAGTATTACGATAACATCTTTAAATCAAATCAACTTTTTCTTAAAACAAAGGAAAAAATATACTGCAGATACAAAGGTGTGTTCCCATTTCGCCTTAACTGTGAAATTCAGGTAAGAAAAAGTTTTAAAAGGAACTAAGACGAAATGGGAATTTTAATATTTGTAAAAATTTATATCTCTGGGTTGATATAAACATTTAAATGATAATTTTTTCTAGATTGAATTTAACAGTTAATGAGAATTGATGAATACAGTGAATAAAATAATACATGTACATGTATTACCAAAAAATACTTTATGCTAAATATATTAAATCTCCATCACCTTAATTCACCTGAGAGCTTACTAAGACGAAATGGGAATGCTGAATTCTACAGTTTAGGCGAGATGGGAACAAACCATACAAAATGCCCCCCCCCCCCCTTTACTAATTTCACTTCTATGGAAACTCAACTAATATTAGCATACGATCAGATACTCTGATTATGAATGACTATATTAGGTGACAATGAACGCAAAGTACATTTAAATCACCCTTATTAAAAAAATCTTTGACCCCTATCCACACTGGAATAGTTGGGTAGTACACTTGTGTCACGTATCTGTATGTCTGTGTAATTCTCACAAAATTAATAGGTCAAAAACGTGCGTATTTCAAAAGAAAAAAATCACGAACGAAGCACTCGTCATATCATAATTCAACGCGTTCAAACCGAGTTGATAAAATACCGATTGAGATACACACTTGTTCTTACAAGCCCTCCCCCTTTCTTTTTACAAGGGGCATTATTGTTGTTTTATTTTATTTTTATCTTCCGAAAATATTTTTTGTTGAATAATTACTTTTCTTTTTTCCTGTGTGATTTTGTTCAAATTAAACAGAAAAACGTTCCCAGTGTATTTCGGGGAAGTGGGAGTTTTAATGACAACACTTTTCTTCCTCTTTTTTTTTTTTTTTTTGGTTCACATACGTAACTCCTTATAAACCATTTTAATTCCTAAAGGACGTAAGGTTATTCTTTTTTTATAAAGTTCGGTTGTTTTAGTAGATAAAAATCCATAACAAATTTTGTGCATTGTAGATTGAGGGAAGGGCACCAATTTTTTTTTTTTTTTTTTTATGAAATGAAACATTTATTTTCCTCCTTATAAAGAAAAAAATGTACCTATATTGCGCAAACCACTAAAATGTTCATTTAATGGACGCAACTCACCACGGAAAAGCATTCTGTGGAAATTAAGCAATTTTTAAATATAGAAAATTAAACACATTATTTCATGATTTATTCACGTTCAGCATGAATTCACTGACTACACAACTTAACAGTATTTTAATATACCTGCCTAATTCAATAATAATTTTCATCAAAACACATCCTCAACAAAGTACTAATAAAAATCAATAAGGATGGAGGAGAAACAAGTTATTCCCCCTTGTTTTTAACAACCAACAGTGGAAAAAATCCATTGCTAAAAATAAACAAACCAAAATTGAAAGGTGATGTGATAGCCTGATGAAAGTACACCTAGCACAAAATACATGACAAATCCAAAAGGTGTATGCCATCATCAGTTTATCTAATGGCGTCTAACTGGGAGTTAAACATCTCCGCTAGCTAGGTGATCCTGACCCGCTATACGCTTCACAAAGCGGTTCAGAAATACGTGGCCAGTGAAGAGGTTTAATTAACAATTGTGTAGAATATGAAGTTCAACAAACAGGCAAAAATAATAGTAATAACAGTAAGTTTCTTGGGTAAAAAAAAAAATTGAAATAAAATGCAGCAGGCAGGCTTTGTTGTCTTTTCTTTTGGTTTCGTGTGCCTAAATAGGAAATGACCCAATTTTCTTTCATAACTGTGTATTCCCCTTATCATACGAAATTGACAGAGTAATCTTAATAATTTAGGCCTTCTTGACTGTATTGAATTCATGGTATGCACTTCATAGCAAGATAAAAGCTGAATTAATGTTTCCTGATTTCTTAAAAAGTTCAAAGTACATGTACATATCATTTCAATGAAATATTTGCATTTTTTTAACATGACTAAGAGCATATGGTTTAAAGTGAATGCATCATCAAATTCAAATTATTTCAATGATTCAGTATTGAAGTAGACCACAGCACAATACAGTATTGTACAATTGAATGCCAATATTTAAACAACACTGTGTGATTTCTGCACAGCAGAAATCTTGCCTTTGAAGGCTAGTAATTTTTCAAAACAGTTACACCTAGTATTAATCAAATGTACTGTATAGATGAAGCCAAAAATGTTATTTACTGATGACTCTAATGTAAAGAGACTTTGATGAAGTGGTTATAGCACATTGTTTAAGCATTTTGATGTTTAGTATCTTTCCATAACCAACATTCAAGTGCATTTCACCAATAAGTGATATCTAATGCAGGTATGCACAAACTCATGATAATCTCTATTTGACAAATGAACATGTTTCAATTCATTCATAGTGGCTAAATGCCTTGAAATACATACAAATATTTCATGTAAAACAAGCAATCTTAACAACATATGCATCATATATGTATGTTCCTCTTTTTCTTTCAGTTATTTAACCTAATAACTGTTCCATTTATCAAAGACAAAAATAAACCTTGAAGTACAGGGCAACACAAAAACTGATATGTTTTCCAAATGCCTGAGTTTATAACAGAATTTGTGTGTCCATCCACAGGCTGTTCATTCTCTTCAGCGATAAATCTATGGGTCTATTTAATCAGAAACTATAAAAGTGTGCGACAACAAGCTTAGAGCATTCAATATTTAGGAGATCAAAGAAAAAAAAAGCTTTTAAGAAAAATTATATAAAACCCATGAAAGTTACAAGAAATAATGATTATTAAGAGCATTATAAAAGAATATTGCAACAAAGCTAAATATAATGCTTACAAATGGAAAGAAAAAGTGAGTGAAACTGTAACATAAAAATGAGATGGACAAAACAGTAATAACAATTTACCTCCAGGTATTGCAGTTATAGAATATTATGAACACACATCTAACAATAGATGAATACGAGACGTATTTGTGACAAAATACAAACAGGTTAACTGAACATTATAAGACATAATACAAATTGGGCTAACATTATTCTCCATCTTACTGAAGACCTTGAACAAAAACTATTAATGTAGGTGAAAAATCTTTTGACATACATACAGAATCTTCTCAAGGTCATATATTAATTTTGTGTAAATGATTAATAACAGATTTTATCACTTTTCAAGCAGGAAGAAAGAATTTCTTCAAAGAAAGGAATATTGCATGAAGTTGTGAATTTTTTGAGTTACATAGCCCAAGAAAAGCCCTCTAAATAACATTTAATACACACACCATCCACATATCAACATAAAAATTTGCACTAAAGGGCTTCAGACAGATTTCCATTGCTAGATCCAGTCCATACAACCTTTCATAAAAGGCATGTACCAAAAAAAATATTTTTTTCTTCTTATCAAATACTGAAGGAATAAGGGAGGAAAAATGCAACAAAAAAAAATCAATATTCTAAATATACATAGAAAATTAAAGAAATCTATAAAAATATCTATAAAGATACGGATTTCAAAGCTGAAAATCATATTTAAAAATATTGTGCACTGGGATGGATGAATAAAGCTACAGAAGGTGAGACATAAATTTCCAATAAAAAAATGAAAAAAAAGCTAAAAACAAACAAATGAAAAACAGGAATGGGTTTGGATACAATATCTACAGGACCAATATCACAACATGAAATATACTATAATACATGTATTTGAATCCCTAATAGCGTACAGTTGTATTACATTGATTCCTTTAGCACTGCAGATATTTTACGTCTTACATATTCTAGCCAATTTCCAATTTACTTTATGCGATGCTGCCTATCTAAAAATTTTTATTTGGACACAATTGATTTCTGAAGGTTAACTGGATGTATATAAAACAAATTATACAAGTTGGTTAGCACTGTATCGATGATTTTTCAAAATATTGAATAAAAAAGTAAAAGTTGCTTGTAGAACATAATCCCTGCACATTGATGAAAAACAAATGCTGATAAACTTATAATGAACAATCCTTAATCATGTTATTGAATAGAAATGTTAACTGAATTTGGATAATTCTTCACTGATTTGAAACAGGTCTCTCTCATACCATTCCTGACATTGCACAAATCATATACCCCACAAACATAAGAGATGATTTTTTTACACTGATAGGCTCTCAACTTCATTCATTCAAAAATATATAAATGCAATTCAACAAGATCCAAACCTAAAAATATTGTACATTGTACATATTAATAAATAGCATACAGCAATCTTTAACAAAATGACATCACATATTTTTGTTAGAGTGCTACACTTTATCACATTTTACTATCCTTCTCTTCATTATCACTGTGATCTCGGCTGGGTGGATCCACCACAATTTCAGGTGCCTTGTTGTTTGATAACAGGTGCTCCTTCTCCTCCTCATCAATGTAGAAAGACACCCCTTGACCTGAGGACTTGTTTTTACTGCTTTTATGCTTCCTATGTCTGAAACAAAAATATATATTCCAAATGAAAGCTTTTCAAAATTCTTGTACAAATATCTCCTTAATTTCTCCAAAAAAAAAAAAAAATCTATATATATATAGAAAAAGCAACATACAAGTGTCATTTACTTAATTCTTTAGAATTCCACCTTAACTCAACAACTACAGTTTTCAGTATTCATTCCTTTACACTTCCAATCTGACATTACATGTTAGCTAATCATTATTTCCTATACTTCAGTAATTCAAAATCAGTTCAAGTGAGTGAAACAATTTAGTCAATTTACACGAGCCCGGGACTTTCTTTGTCACACTATTGTTGCTGGCTAGGGAGGGAGATACACTTCCAATCTGACATTACATGTTAGCTAATCATTATTTCCTACACTTCAGTAATTCAAAATCAGTTCAAGTGAGTGAAACAATTTAGTCTATTTACACGAGCCCGGGACTTACTTTGTCACACTATTGTTGCTGGCTAGGGAGGGAGATACACTTCCAATCTGACATTACATGTTAGCTAATCATTATTTCCTATACTTCAGTAATTCAAAATCAGTTCAAGTGAGTGAAACAATTTAGTCTATTTACACGAGCCCGGGACTTACTTTGTCACACTATTGTTGCTGGCTAGGGAGGGAGATACACTTCCAATCTGACATTACATGTTAGCTAATCATTATTTCCTATACTTCAGTAATTCAAAATCAGTTCAAGTGAGTGAAACAATTTAGTCTATTTACACGAGCCCGGGACTTACTTTGTCACACTATTGTTGCTGGCTAGGGAGGGGGACGACTCGTTGGCGACTATAGATTTCCAGAGACTGGTTTTGGTCACCTCGTCAGATATACACAAGTCACTGTCCGGTGTGTTGATCCCCACTTTGACCACATTCATATGGAGGGAGTTAGAGGAGGAGGAACCGTTAGGCAGGGAAGCCATCTCTTTCTCCTTCTCTTCCTGGTCCTGTACAATTATAAATATACATGTACATACACTACTTTACCTCTTCTGTGCTTGAATACAAGATGCCACAAACAATTACTGTTATTAAGTCTTCAACTGCAGAGTTACAGTTCTTGATTTTGATTTAGTCAGTGGTTTGATCACTTTTTAAGGTTCTGTTGTTGGTATGATTATGTTATTGATTTGATTATGATTTGATAATGTTGATGACTTGATCCTTTTGTAGATTATGTTGATAGTGTTTACCTTCAGTTCTTTATCTTCGTCCTCCTTGTTTCTGTTGTGAATTTCTGGCATGATATCATCCAGCCACCTTAACTCATCCTGAGTAAAAACCCAGTCCAGTCCCTTCCTTACAAAGCACATAGCCAACACCTAGCAAAATGGGAAGAAAAATACTGTTAATCTTTAGTATCTTGAATAACTTTGATAAGATGAAGTAAGTTGAAAGTCCAAACTACATTTTTGTTCTGTATTGCAATCTTTATATCTCAAATCTTTGAAAATGGAAGTTTTTTCCAGTCCCATTGAGTGAAATTTTAACATTCAGTACAGGACATGAATTCATGAATGAAAAGAACAAAAATTACTCCCCAAGAAAATTAATTATTTCATAGTACACTGTTGTCAGATTATAGATCAAACTGGTTTTTTTTTCGCTCTATACAGAACATTGAATACAAATCTAATAATGAATTCAGCAAATCCACCAAGCAAAGTCTTACCATTAAAGGAAATACAATAGAAGTGTCTTTAATGCTTTTAACAATCCACAGAATCACTAGGCACATGACTTGTATAGCAGTGAAGAGGTGGACTCTCTTGGTAGGAACGTGTCGGAGGTACATATAGTCGGGCTGGTACTTCTGGGGCATGAACCAGATCAGAATCCGATTCACGATCTGCATTCCGCGGAGCGAGGACACACCCATATACAGGAATACTCCGTATAACACAGGCATCGGGATGTGCTGTGATGAAGTAAACAAGATACAGTAAAAGATTTATACAGCAACGAGGACACAATCATGTGTAATACATTCTTTATCATGCATGCACAAGTGCTTCAATTCAAATATCAAACACAGTATTACATTATCAGCCAAAGTATCAGTACTTCTTCTTTATTTTTTTTCTTTAGTTTACATGAAATATCTAATGTACATTAATACCCACCTTTAGAATCCCTGTCAGTAAAATGGAGATACCAATCATCAAGTTGATCATAAAACCAGTAACCCTCTGCTCTCTATGTATAAAAGAAAAAGATTTTAGTACTTAATATGGAAGCTTGATACTTTATTCACACTGTAAGAAAGAGATATTTGCACTACGGAACTTGTACTAATGTAAATGTATTTTGTATATACGATTTTTAAGATAATCCAGTTTACCTGACACCCAGAAACTTCGGAGCCTCTCCCGGGGCAGCACATTTTGATTCTTTCTTCAGACTCATAACATGGGTAATAGACAAGACTGTGGCTGCCACAAAGAATGGCAGACCCAGGAAAGAACAAATGATGATCAGACACGCCACTATAAACAGGTCCAAGTGGTAGCCTTTACCTTTCTGTGAATAGAACGAAAAATACAATTTAATCGTGACAATTTTGATTTACATACAAGTTTACACACTGAGTTACCATTCATTTGACAGTTTTGATTTACATACCAATTTACACAATGAATTAACATTAAGTTTACAGTTTTGATTCATACTGTATACAGGGTTATTTTCGCCCCGGGTTATTTTCGCCCTTTCACACTGTAAAACAAATATGCCCCACTTTAAATTCACCCAATCGTAGTTTTGTTTAAGAAATTATACTGAATTTTTTTTATTTGACCCGTTTTAAATTTGCCCTAACGAGGTAAGGGCGAAAATAAAATGGGGGCAAAAATTTCCCTGTATACAGTATATTAATTTACACATTGACTTCAAATTCAGTTTACAGTTTTGACTTACATACTAGTTTACACAGTGAGTTTACATAAAGTTTACAGTTTTGATTTACGTACTAGTTTACTCAGAGAGTTTACATTAATTTTACAAAACGGGTTTATTAAGTATACAGTTTATATCATGAGTTAACATTAAGTTTACAGTTTTGATTTACATACCAGTTTACACAGTGGGTTTACATTTTGTTTACAGTTTTGATTTATGTTCTAGTGTACTTAATGAGTTTACATTTAGTTTACAGTTTTAATTTACGTACCACCAATTTATTCTCCTTCCTGTTAACGATAACAGCTGTGATCTGTTGATCCATGAAGATCAGGATTGTAGCTAGTAGCGCGGGGATAACGGCAGCTATAGGTAGATACCACGGATTCTTATCTATGGGATTCACCACCCAGGTTCTTTTATCACTTGTGGGCTGAAAAAATGGACATTCATTAAGGCTTTAATCAATACAAGGCTCATATACAAGTTTTAAATTAGTCATCCATGAAAATTTTATCAAAGAAAAACTGAAGAAACTTCCAAATATACAGTCAGATCATTATCTCAAACTGGATGGGACCAAGAAGATATTTTAGGGTTTGAGATATCAAGAATAAAATACTTAAAGAATTGAGTTCTTGATCATGTGGACATATCAATGCTATTTTGATCGCTCTAGCAATTTTACATGTGACTGTCAATAAACTACTGTACATCACTAAATTTTCGCGACACCTTATTTTCGCGAGGCAGTCATTGGATCTTTATATGCGAGATATAATTTTCAAGAATTGTTGTTATTCCTCTGTATAATCATAAGGAATACATATATAAGTGAGAATTAAATTTTCGCGAGCTCATTGTCTCGAGTAATTACGCGAAAATAAAGTTCTCGCCAATAAAAAGTGATTTACAGTATTGAGACTCTCAATGGAGGAACAAAGAACATTTCTGGTTGCTGGTTCCCTTACCCTGAATTCCTGAGGAACATGTAGTTTTGGTGTGGGTATACCCAAGAGAAAGTCGATCAAAACCATCATCACAATAGCAATCATCACAGCAAAGTCATTTATTATACCTCTGATCTAAATCAACAATTCACTTTATTATATTCATGTCAATGACACAGAAAAGGACAGTCAAGTAATTGTGGAAATCATCTGATGCAAAAAACACAAAGATAAATAAATCAACAAATACAGAATAAGTGGAAATTTCAGCTAGACGCAAATTTAGTGATTTGTCCTTAAGATACGGTATTTTATTTTTAGCAAGAAATAATTTTAGCGATTTTAAAATGCTCACTAATGCAGCTATTACAAATTAAACACAGTTTATTTTTAGCGATATTTAATTTTAGCGATCTCAGAACCCTCGCTAATAATGTCAAAATTAAATCCTCGCCAAAAATACTGCTTCTACGGTAAGATAAATATAATTTTGGAATGAGGAATATGAGACTTACTTGTGTAGGGAAAAATTTACTGGTACGCATTCTCTTAAGAGTCATAGAGATGAGAAATGTTCCTGTAAATAGAATCACAGAGAGAAAGAAGACTTCTGGCTCGGTGTCGCTATGACAATCATAGGTTTTATCCCAGTGTCCCCCACTTAACACACACTCCTCCAGGGTCTTGTTGGCCCAGAAGGCAGTCATATCAAACGAGCTAGTGGTGTTGTCTGTTGTATTACTGAGTGTTGATATCGTTGTCGTACTAACTGGCACTGTATTACTGGCCATGGTGACGTTAGTTAGCGTGTCGTTAGATATCTCCTCCAACAGAGGGGGGTTACATCTTCCCTGACACCATCCAGGCCGAGTTTCTATGGGAAAATGGATCGGATGGGTTAATGTCACTTTGGCTAGCTTGGCAAAGGCCTCCTTGATAAAGATAAGGGAGATAAGAAGTGCAAAACTTTCCTCGGTGAAGCGAGTGATGTACTGTACCCAAGCGGACAAATCCAGAATCACCATGATGATGAGGAGAATACCTGTCCACAACCCAACCCATAACCTGAACTCAAGATAATCCCAACCATTGTCTCTGAAAAAGGTCAAGGAATACAATGTACATAACACTCATTTTTAAAAATCATAAAACAATCTTTAGTACAACAATGTAAGAAGATCTAAGAAACTAAGATCTATTAAATAAAAGGCCCACGGGATATAATGCTTTCCTGAGTAACTCTACCCTTCGTGTCATGATTTGAACATATCTGAATCTAAACTACCTGAAAATACTTCCATATCAATATGACTGATTATGCCTTTGCCTTCTTGAGAAGAACATTTTTGATGATTTTCCCCCTTATATATTTCATTGCAAAACTCTGTCTGTTATATCATCACCCTATCCATAGGGATCGTGGTATGCTTTCACCTAAGATTCAACTATTCTAGTCCTGTGATTCCTAAAACAAATTTTGAAAGATGCCATAAAAGGCAAATTGGTTCTTGAAAAGAAGTTGAAAATTGCAAAAGCTTAAAGATGGACAGATAGCTATACTGATAGATGTAACAGAAGAAATATGATCAGAGTAGTTCACTTGAGCTTTCAGCTCAGGTGAGCTAAATATCCACTTCTTGTCCATAACACATATTTATTTTATCAGAGAATAAAGAGTGTCTTACTTGCAGAAATGGTGTAGGATGGTTTCAAACACAAGAACCGGTCCAGTACTTCCTAGAATGGTGAGTGGCTGACCAGATAATAATGCATAAAATATCCCACAGATAGCTGCTGCCAATATACTCTCAAACACAGCCTGTCAAAAGAAATCATTATTATACATCTAGGTCCTCCATTTTGATTGAACCAATAATACAACAAAATTCCAAGAATTTACTTTTTAAAGGCAAAATCTATTTTAAACTGTTTACATTTGTGAAAAAGTAGACTAGCTAGCAGTTAAGTTCTACAAAATAATATACTGGGTAAATAAAGTTTCCCCCTATATGAAGTGTCCAACATATCAAAATTTAACCAATTCTTACCCCCCGTTCACACATAGACGTCGCTTCTACTACGATCAAAGCGTGGCTGAAAGCGTGGCCGATCGTGAAAAATCGCAGGAGAAACGTCGTGGAGTTCGTCATTAGCTTGGCAAAGTATAAAGATCGCAGATAGGGTCTTCATGATCGGACAGAGAATCACCATGATGATGAGGAGAATACCGCTCTCAACCAACGCTTATTTTGAACATGTTCAAAACAAGCGTTGTCAAGGAATACAATGTACAAAGAATCATTTTTAAGTCATAAAAAGATCTTTAGTACAACGCCGTAATCGTACAAGGCCCATGGGCCATAATGCTTACCTGAGTAACTCTACCCTTCGTAGAGAGATCTTCGTGATCGTAGTAAAAGCGCCGTAAGATACGTTTAGATACAAGCATTTACCGAAGCGATACGAACAACCTATCCAAAAATTGAAAACAAGTACCTGGCCTTGGAAAATGGCGGCTTGCTCGAAAAGATGATGATGATATTCTACGTTCGTAGGGGTACTATGTTCTCACTACAATCTCTCTACGTTCCTGAAGATCCTACGAAGATTGTCAATGACCTTACGCCGATCATATCACGACCTATCAGACAGGAGTTTGTTCTTATAGCGCTAATATTTGACCATCATCTGTAAACTATATGTAAAGGGTGACACTATACTGGACGATCATTTGCAATTGAGAATTTTCACATCCTGTTACAGTTAAAATTGAAAATGCCCTTAAACCAAATGGTAAAGACCGCAAAAAAATAAAAAAAAAAAAAAAAAATGCGGTCGCAAGATACTGTAAACCAACTTTTATTCGCGTGAGAGAAATTTTCACGAGGTTCACGAGAGCCTTGTCATCGCGAAATATTTCTCGCCGCTAACCAGTCCGTAAAGTCTCTATGTCTATTTTATATATAAAAAAAGACTTTATCGCCAAAATTAATCGTCACGAACTAGTTTACCCTCCGTAAAACGCGAAATAAAGTCGCCGCGAATAAAAGTTGGTTTACAGTATGTATCATCGCTAAATTCGTAGTACAAAAATTTGCGGTTGCAAAATATATAGATTTACATCATCGTCAAAATCGTACTAGAAGCGTAATGCAATCGTAATATGATCCGCACCAACGTAGAGACATCGCCGTACAATCATCTAGGTCTGCGTAGCGTCGTAAAAAGAAAATGGTCTTTGATGTCTTAGTGGCAGTGTAGAGCAAACCCAGTAAACACGGCCGCTTGTCGGCAACGGTCTGCGTAACATCGTACTAGAAGCGTGTTAGCATCGCGTTTGACGTAGCGACATCGCAGTACGGTCATCGCAAAGACCATAATTTGCGAAAATTGCTATATTTCAAAAAATACACCTAATTAATCGTGCTCTTAGTGAAAACCATCATTGCCGATCCAAAAATATGTTTTCAGATCGTGGCTAGATCGGAAAGATGATCGCCGTAGAGTCGCAGCTCTGTGTGAACGGGGGGTTAACATGTTGTAAAAACAGACCACAAAGACATACATGTTAGATGTATCAAATGTTATTTGTGCCACTTCCACACAGATTTACACATGTATAACATTTGGGGATATTTATCTTAAAACTAGCAGCTTAAAGGTTATACTTTCTTTTTCCATCTCCACTTAATAGTCATAATTAATCTAGATACATAAACATGTTATATTAATATTATTACAAATTTTCCATTACCATCTTTTATATCGTTGTGTACCACATGTCTAAACATTTCAAAAGTCCAACCCTCTCTTACAACATCTTTTTCAACATCTCTGATAAAGTACTTATATATATACTGTAAAACCAAATATTTTCAGGGAGGCAAATTTCCAAGGTTGTGGGAAAAATATTGGTTTGTGGGGATTTGATTTCATGGTTGGAGAACGTTTTGTAGTAATGCATATGAACTTTTTTCATTTTGTGGTTGTCATAAATTCTTGGTCTCTCAATACCTTGAAAACAAAAAAAAAATTAAACCCCCACAAAAATTAGGAATTTTACAGTATTAAAGTAACTAAGATGCTTCACAACATTTGTTGTTTTTCCTTAAAATTATTCAAAGTGCATGGGGAAAAGTTTTAAGTATATATATGTGCAAGTTTTTAAAAAGTTTAAATCTAGTCATTTTTGTAGAATTTCATACAGCTTATTCTTTTCAGTACATGTACTGTTTAAAATTTCTATCATTTTTCTTGCTCACAAAGGTCTGCCAACTTCTAAGGTAGAGACAGAAATAACTGATATTTTAATACAGGTAAAATATTCCCACAATTTTTGTATTTTTTACATTTTAAGTTTAATAATACATTTTACTTTAAACCAGACGAAATCTGTAATTACACAAAATATCATAAATTAAAAATTGTGTTACTATGTTGCGTTTTCTTTGATTTTAAACAAAACAAACTAGTCTCATAGAACATCACTTTAAAATTTTAACTGTCTATACAAATGTTGATACAAGATAGAAATATGATAGAAAAATGTTCTCATTACCATATGCGCATTAGGAATTATGAATTTTCTTTAAATGAGCAAAAAAAAGAAAAAAAAAACATGAATGCATTATTCCTTTGTTTATTATAGGTCATATCTGAGTATAGATTCAGAGTTAAATTCAATTTTATGAAAGATCCATTTATGACATTTCTGCCATAAAAGATAAAATGAAATTACTGTGGAATCATTTAATCATTATATATGGCTAAAATTTTCCTTGAAAAATAACAATCTCAATGTATGTTTTTTTTCAATCTTAAAAAGAAAACATCCCAACAGCATAGTTAACATAAAGCAATCTACGGATGGAAGATTGTCACCAAATAAATATTTATATGATTCCACAGTTCTGTGCACATTAAAGTATAAAAACCTGAAACTAAACATGCAGTGAAATGAGCTGACTCTACATCAAGTAACTGTCTTGCATATCTATCTATCACCAGCTTACCCGTGTCAAAAAATATAAAGCTGTGGGCAAGTCAAAATGGGTTAATCAAAGGAATACAGTGAAAATAAAGAATAAAATAGCAACAAAACAATACTCAGGTCAATAAATAAACTATGGTACATGCTTTTCTTTGGTTAAAAAAATATCTCTCTTCATGAATGTTCTAATTGCACTTTTGCTATGCACTGTATGGAAGTGATGATTTTGAATTGTGCACCCAAATTTGTAATAAATCTAACCATTAACTATAACTAATCATATAAATACTAATGATTTATAAAAATGAAGTCAAAGAGATTACAGCACATATGACTACAACAAACAAAAAAATCACAAAATCAATGTAAAAAAATCATAAATGAGCACAGTAAAATATGTAAATGTCTGGAAATCTTACATCAAAATATTTCTTAACTCGAGCAGTTTTTAAATTAACCTACCATGTTACCATCTGTGGCATCATTTAGGAGACCTCCAAAGGTAATAACAGGAGTCAGACAAGCAAAGTATAAAAAGATAAAGGAGGCTAGACACTGAACATGTAGAGCATCCTTAAAGTCACTGGCATAAAAGGGAAGCTTCCTCTTAATGTCATTTACAATGCCTCCACACAACCTGAAATGATCAGAAAAATAAAAGTATTAAACAAGGGCATTGCAAAGCAGAGCATCTCTTTGCAAAAGAGCATATTTATAAATTAAGGCAGCACTTGACATTGATCCTGATGCAAATTACATCACTTCCATTATTCACACAAGGACAAACTAACCCAACCTCCCACACAAACAAGCATACAGCTATATATCCACTCCAGCTCTGTTACTAGGGGATGCTAATTCAAATATATTAAGAAGTGCTATGCAGGACATGTTGCCCCTCTCACTCACCCCCCTCCTCCTATTTTTAGAGTGATGTTAAAATTGCGTACCTGCCAATCCTAACTAGAACTGTCCAAACGGGACAAAATACCCCCCGCTGGGTTTTTCAGAAGTAAGTTTTTCCATAATAAAGATATGTATCACACATGAATTATGAAATTTTTCTTCCAGTGACCTTGAAGTTCCCCAAATGACCTTGGGTCAAGGTCATGACACACCCTTGGGTCATGGGCAATTTTTGTGTGAAATGAGAACCTACCAAGTTTATCCATAAGAAAGATATGGACCGGACATGAATTATGAACTTTTTCTTCCAGTGACCTTTAACTTCCCCAAATGAATCATGAATCATGAATCAAGGTCATGACAAACCCTTGGGTCATGGGCAATCTTTGTGTAGAATGAGAACCTACCAAGTTTATCCATAAAAAAGATATCGACCAGACACAAATTATGAATTTTACTTCCAGTGACCTTGAACTTTTCCAAATGACCTTGGGTCAAGGTCATGACACACCCTTAGGTCATGGGCAATCTTAGGGTGAAATGAGAACCTACCAAGTTTATCCAAAAGAAAGACATGGACCGGACACGAATTATGAACTTTTTCTTCCAGTGACCTTGAACTTCCAAAAATGACCTTGGGTCAAGGTCAGGACACATCCTTTGGTCATGGGCAATCTTTGCATGAAATGAGAACCTACCAAGTTTATCCATAAAAAATATGTAGACTGGACACAAATTATGAAATTTTTCTTCCAGTAACCTTGAACTTCCCCAAATGACCTTGGGTCAAGGTCAGGACACATCCTTGGGTCATGGGCAATCTTTGCATGAAATAAGAACCTACCAAGTTTATCCATAAAAAAGATGTAGACCGGACACGAATTATGAAATTTTTCTTCCAGTGACCTTGAACTTCCCCAAATGACCTTGGGTCAAGGTCACGACACACCCTTGGGACATGGGCAATCTTTGCATGAAATGAGAACCTACCAAGTTTATCCATAAAAAAGATGTAGACCGGACACGAAGTATGAACTTTTTCTTCCAGTGACCTTGAACTTCCCCAAATGACCTTGGGTCAAGGTCATGACACACCCTGAGGTCATGGGCAATCTTTGTGTGGAGTAGAAGATTCTAATGTCCCTCCGTAAGAAAGATATGGACCGGACACGTTTGCACAGACAGACGGACAGACGGACAAGGTGATTCCTATATACCCCCCCAAACTTCGTTTGCAGGGGGTATAACAAGTGAGGAGTCATCACCCCCCCCCCTCCTATGTTTAGAGTGATGGAATAATGACCTACCTGCCAGTCCTAACAAGAGAGGAGTCGACATGATCCATCTCTATCTCCACCTCCTCTGGGTCTCCCCCCTCCGTCTTGGCGGGGGGCGTATAACAGTTGTTCCTCCGGCTCTCCTGGGAGGGGATCTGTTTGGGGGGCTCAATCCTGATACTGGGGTCCCACTCTCCAGGGGGGAGAACTGTGACCTGATCCAGGAACTCGTCAATTCCAGCCAACAAGTCGTCTCTGTTCCGGGCATGGTACGCCACGTCATGGAACACCTGGGATAATGATACATGTACAGTATATACAACATATTATGCCAAATGTATGCAAGAATATGAGCACATTTACAAGAATTTTCCTTCAAACAACTTTTCAACTTACGTATGTATTTAAATATGATAAATTAGATGTGTATTTTCCAGGGCTGCAAATAACATTTGAAATCTTTTGGGGTATGTTGTTATTTGCAATCTTTTGGGGTATGTTGCCCCCAACTTTATAGATTTACTAGCCCAAATTTAATATCTTGGGGTCCACAATTTTTTCTTCTCCTTGTACGAACTTTAGCAGTTTGTAAATATACAAAGTATTCCTTTAATTCATGACCTCACATATAACATAGATATAACATACAATTGCTTTGTATGTAAGTATTAGTAACAAATGAAAGTACATAATTTAAAAACAGAATCAGAAAAAAACCTCGTCTGACATCAGTGTAGCTATAGACCGTCCTATTTCATGGTACTTGCTCTGGCCCCCCATAGGTCCCAGCAATATAAACACAAACTTGGTGGGCACGGGAACCTCGGTCAAGTCTCTCAGGATGATGGAATGGAGGAGCCGGACAAAGGCCACCACAGGATGGTTCAGGAACTCCACCTCTCCCACCAGAATGTTAGCGGCCTCAGCCCCAGGGGGGATCTTCTTCATAAAGTGCAGACTCTACAGTGTTGCAGGGGAGATAATTACACACTGGGTACAAATATAATTTACATGTTAATCAGCCTATCAAATCTAAATGGGTCTACTGAGAGACCAAGTTTTTTTTATTTGAAAGCTTGCTTACAATTCAATAAAAAAATATATGAAAAGACTTTATATAAAAAAGATTTTATACTAAAATTATAATGTGCAAATGGTTACAAACTCAAAATTTTATCAAAATAAATAAATGAAAAACTGGTATTTATAATAAAAAAAATTTAAATGCAAAATAACCTAGATTTCTTAAGATTGATCACCCCAGATCTTCCCTTTTTAAACTTTCTAGCACGTAGCATAAGCTTAAACTGGAATAATTATGGGTTTATATAAAATTAACATCACGGCCCAGCCGCCTAAGGGCCATGTTATACTTAGACAATCTGGGCCCCCTTATTGGACAAATTTTGATCAATTTGCAGAAAGCCTGTTGGCAGATTAATGGAATTCAGATGAATCAATGAAGTCTAAATACATTTATTTTAAATAACAAACAAATTTTTTTTAAAGGAAACTCAGACAAACTAACAAGAGATATATAATTAAGAGACATCACAATAACATAATACCCGTTATATAAAGTATCATACCTGAATAAATCAAATAAATAGTTCATTGCTAAACATATAAATAAGTTTGAAACATAACAACATATAACATAAACAAAACAGAACTTTTAAAGGTTTATCTATTAGTCAAACATAAAGCAGAAAGGTCCAAATTTATAAGTGCAGTATTCTTCAGTAAAAAGAACATAGGACTATAATTTAACTGAGAAATAAAATTTAAGGAAATAAGGTTGTATGATATTATATGCTTCTATTTTGTAACTGGTATGAATAATATTTCAAAAATAAAAGTAACCCCCCTCCCCCCAAAAAGTAAAAGGTGCTAGTAGAGGATCTGTAAAATATTTCACATATCTTTACTTGGGATACTTGCATGTAAATCTTTAGACAATTTACGAAAACATGTGTAGTTAACAAAGGTGTGTGACTGTCTTTTATGCTAAAAATATTCTGACACAAATGATATGAAACAATTGTTTCTTTTTTTAATCATTTATGAAAATGTTCACAAACGAAATAAATATAGATCAAATTTATATAATAACAGTAATAGATAATTTTCAAATTTTATCTGTTAATCAAGTTTTCTGCATTTTATCAATGAATGCATGCTTTTTGCACATTCAATATATGTTTAATATCAGCTAGCTTAGACCATATGCACCTAGCAATTATAAATCAACCATGTACCAGCAAAAACAACTGATAATTCACTGAACATTATTGTTTCTGTATAAGGCTTCTGTTGATGAGGATTAATCAATCATGAAGGTTAGTTTTCTGCCAAGGTCAAGGCCATCATCTAATTTCATGCATGAGATCTGTCAAGAATTGATCCAGAGTTGTCTTCCTTTTTTCAGTGACAATATATACTTTCATATTTGTTCTCCCTTGAAAAGTGGCCAAAATTTTACTTTTTTGGCTTATAAATTTTCTGTAGATAAAAAATATGAAAGACAACTGATAATTCTAAACAGGTCTGTTTCTATGGGTCTTCAAACTAAGATAGGTATACTGATTAATTTGTTGTGTAGCTACATTGATGCATGCATTTGCAACATTAATGTTGCCTCAGCCCATCGGGAAAATAGCATTAGGCCGATAAGAAATACTGAACAGAATCAAAGGGTCAGGCATTAATTCAACAGAAATTTGAAGTATAAATCAGAATATGCAATTTGATGAAAAAGTAGGATTTTTTTTCTTCTCTAATTTCATGATTCAAGTATATTCAATGCATGTATATATGATTCAATATATTTTCTTTTTTTTAATTTTTAATTAAATATTTAAGCATGCTGAACAAAATTATTCTGAAATGCAGACCAAAGACTTTTAATGTATAAATAAAAATTAAAATATATATTTTATATTTATCCTACAGGCCCAACACATATTATTCTTTCTTTCAAGTTTTCACCATAATATAGCCATGAAGTTACATATGATGGATACATATGAACTAGTTCAACTAACAATGATAAAGAAACAACAATGCCATAACTGAGGTGGCTTGTAAAGTTCTTACATGATTGCTCATATGACTCAAGTCCTGAAAATTTATACAGACATTGAACCTTTTATTATAAATAATAATAACTCATTTCATTAAAAAATATATATATAAATGTAACTGTATGGAAAATTTGATATATTTATCAACTTTAAGTAAAACTGAACAACATTAATATAATGGAGGTTCCACACTGTAAATCCTTCAGTGTTTATACATTATCTGGAATCCTCTATTTACGGTTAGATCTATTCGCTGGTATGTTTTTTATTCATGATTGGATAATCATTTTGTATGTCCTAAATTAAAGAAAAATTATGAATAGAAGAACTTTTAGAAGAAAAAACAAATGTATATTATTTGTTCTGAGAATTTTCAGCCCTTAGAAGTAGAAGCAATATTTTAAAAACATTCCAGAAAAGAAAGAAGACACTTTCTAAGAAAAAAAATTTAAAGTTTATTAAAGACTGTCATTTTAACTTGGTGGGAATATGCATTCCATAAGATTAACTTTTTCGATGGCACACAGTGTACACTCAACTAAGACTTGTGAAAATTTAATTCAAAAAGGAAGGATCTTGTCTGTTACACAGTGAAATAATGTTAATTTATTCCTATTCCAGATATATAGTGACCACAACACAAATGGGAGAGAAATAATGAATTTTAAAGGGTGGTAACCTTTGAGAGTAGTTATCAGAGTTTGGTTGTTTGTTCAGAGGGCCTACAGAATTTGAATGACAATGAAATCATATGACAAAGTCACTTACCCTCACACCCTAAATTATGTAAAAAAGTACCAATGTTAATTCAATTATCATTTTTTAACCAATAACTATTAACAAACAGCAAAATTTATTTTCATATTTATTTTTTATGATGTGTAAAATACAAATGTGTACATTTTACAGTGTAAAATTGTGTTGTGGAACATTTCTTTTTTTAATTCATCTTCCAGTAAAATGAAATACAAAAAGAATATCATGCTGCTCACATAATTTGAAATTAGTGAAGGATCTATTAAACCAAACCAAAAATTTAGCAGATTAATTTCTACACAACAAAACTGTCATCTAGAATTTAAAAAATTGTAAGTTCATCAACTACAGCACACTAAAGCAAAGAGGAGACGCTCAGATGTTAAACTACACGTTAAATGAATACAGAAATATACATAAATTCGGATATGTGACAAATCGAGGGTGTTAAATTAGCAGTGAACGTCAGGGACCTTATGACTGTTAATGTCACCCCACGTAACTGACTCCAGCCGTCACAACCTGACTCAATACCTTGAAAAACCTTGACAGTGACTAAAAATTCAACAGAAACTCATCATTTTCTACAGATTTTTAATCGTTCTTTTGTTTTCCTAAAATGTTAGGATGTTATTTAAAATTAAGTACTTTGTTCTTTATAAGTGTTTTTATCCTTCTAATGACTAAAGATAGAAAATTCATGCTTTTTTTTTTTAGATAAGTAAATATTTGTTATAAACCTACTCAATTTATCTGGTTAGACAGGTGTTAAAATTTTCTTAAATCTCTAAATTAAAATGCCTAACATTATATAATAGCAGTAATTTTGCCAAAACTGCTATAACCTTATGCTCAGACTAAATGTTAACTTAAGGATTTCAAATGTTGAAGAAGATCTGACAGAGTTATCTAACCTTGTGAGAGGAGTCTCGGGTTAACAAATCGCTGCTACTCTGATTGGCCGTTAAACTCCCCGAGTAAGTTGGATGGTGCTCTAATGGTCCACTGTCTTGTTTTTCTGGAGCGTGGAAGTTGGGAGAACTTTTGGCGCTTTTGAACTTGTTCTTCAGTATCTGCGCTGGGTTTGATGGATCTTCAGCTGCACAAATAAATACATCTGCATACAGCACTGAATATATATTGCCGATATATTTTTGTTTAATATCTCAAAAAAGAAATTATTCATCCCTCAGGGTCAATAATAATTTTGAAGAAATGTGTTTAATTAAATATGTGATTTTCTTTCTTCAGATATTCAAGAAATCTCTATTCCTAGTTCCATATACATGTATAATCTTCATTTATTTTGGGTTTTTTCTCCCATTGGAAAATGTCTGATGGAAATATGCATGTACAATTAGGAATAATTAGGCCTTGTGTCCAGATTTTGGTAAAGAGAGACACTGGTCACAGTAATAAATTGTGACCCAATATAAATACATAGTATAGTGTATTATCACTATTAATATTGTTTGCTGTGAGTTCCTTTCCAAACTCTCATTTTACCATGTTTATGGAAGGAAGGGACTGAACTCTTCCTGCCAATTTCAGCAAAAGATCGAATTAAGGGCAGATGAAGTTTGCTTCCTCCGTTCTCTTCCGACCTCTGTGGCTTTTTCTGGTTCTGGTGGCGATGTCGGATCAACATGGTGTCTACAAACTGTTCCTTCAGGTTTTCCTCCAGTTGTTTACTGGCAACCATTGTGTCTACCACCAACTCTAGATAAACCAATGTACCAAAACTTAACATTACTTATTCTCTTCAATTCAAAAATGCTCATATTTAGGAAAGTTTTTTTTTTATTTGGATCTCAGTCTTCTTTCATTCCATTAGAGTGATCATAATATGCATTTATCATGTAAGTAAATTTGGAAAAAAAATTCCCTTTCTGATTTTAGTTACATTCTGGTGCATGCATTGTCATTTACTTTCCAAGAGTAAAAAGAATTTATTTTGTCCTTCACTTGTATACTACAAACTCTTATAAAATGTCTTTGCATGTGACATTGAACAATGTTTACTTACCAACACAAGATCAATTTTACCTACCGACAAGAGATGGCAGGTCGTAGGGTTCTATATCAAACATGACGGTTCCATTGAGGATGTTACAGCGGAGTTCAAACAGAGAGTGGAGAGACAGGGTGGCTACATGGGGCTTGGACCACCTCTCTCCCCCCTCCTCCACATCCTCTTCAAACTTTATCCACCTGAAATGTAGAATTACAGAAAGAAATTATCAGTGAAATTAAGTGGTAGTAATTCATACTTATTGAATTAAAGACCATAATATGCTGGTATTATTAGTTACAGTCACATAAGGACCAAGTAGAAAGGGATGATATTATCTACCCCTTTTATCCCAAATACATGTAGTTGTATAGTTGAAAACATTTAGTTAAGGAATTCTAAATGACTTAAAAAACCAATTTTTCAAATGACTTCTTTCATCATATGAAATAAGGCATTATGTTTTCATCAAGCATATAATTAATGGAAATCACTTTTTATTCAAGAGAACTTTATTTACGCGGAATTATGTGAGTCTGTCTGCTTGGGAAAATTTTATTCCCACATATATTTGTATTGATGAGGATTTACATGATAAAAACTCCTACTTGCCAGGGTTCGACATTAACGTTAGTCCTTTAGTCTCAGACTAATACATTTTCATTCGGACTCATAAAATCTGTGGGTAATAAGTCCGAACAGACTAATAAAGTTTTCGGGGGGGGGGGGGGGGGGGGGGGGGGGGGGGAAGAATTTACCGATGTTCAATTCTCTACAATTTTCACTGGAAAACCCCATATGTATTTTTAGCTTTCTAGCTTCTTGCGCTTAATTTTAGGACTCATTGGTCTGAAATGAAACATTTTAATGATCATGATTTAGTATGACACATAAAGAAAGATGTCGGACGTTTGGATGATATAATCATATAGAGAAAAAACAAACGAGATCGTGAATAAGATCGTAGTTCCTGATCGCGCAGTTTTAACGAATCCTGGTATAAAATATTTTATGTAAATGCTTTGTTTATGTCAAAAAAGTATTTTTTCAAAAAGTACATTGCAATGTTAATTCTATTTACATTTTTGACAGACTAATAAAATTGCCCGCGGTCTAGTAAAAGTAAAGAAGCACTAGTCCGGTCGGACCAAAGTCTAAAAATGTTAGTGTTGAACCCTGCTTGCAAAAATTTTGAATCGCTTATAATACCAAATAGCCATCTCGTGAAAAAGATATGTCATGAAAATATAGTGATCTATAGTACATATAGTATAAGAACCAAAAGGAAACATGATCTAAAATGCTAGTAGGCCTTGCGAATGAATTGATAGCAGACATTTAACTTTGTTCTAGTTTTACTTAGATTTGATTCAGTAATATATATTTTAATTTTTCTTTAATTTTCAGAAGCTTTAAATTCCGGGGTTCACACTATGATACAAGGAAATTGATTTGGGGAAAGGTACATGTACTGTACATAAAAACTGACTTTATGTTCAAAATCTAAAGAAAATTCAATTTTCCACCAACTACTTTATTCCAGACACAGATTCAGAATAATTTGATAGGGTAAGGGAGTTTTTTTTTAATATAAAATAAGTTTTTATAAATAGGTCAAATGTATTGTACTTATTGAACAATTGTGTTCTTTATATTAAAGTTATTGTATATCAGGTTTTGTCAAAAAGATAGATGCATAAGTTTGAAATACAAGGCATTCCATCCTTTCATTTCAAAGCTTTTTTAACAGACAATGTATAAACAAGATTTTTTTTTTAAAACTGCACAAATGGTTTATTTGTATTATGTTCGACATACGTCATGTTATTCAAGCAAGAAGACAAGAGGAAACAGTTTTCACATTTTTCTCTTTCACTATTTGAATGGTCTACACTTATTTGTTTAACTTAAGATACTGCCAAAACCATCAATTTAAACTCTTTCACATCAATGAATGAGTCACAAGGTTTTTAAATAGAATTAATACTTGGCTTTTTTTACCATTGTAATGCTAATACACAGCTTTTTTATGTCTTTCACTGAGCATCACTTGGCAGAGTGAAAGGTACTGTTTTGTCATATTTGCTACGAAGGTGAGAAAGAAAATCAATTTAATGGTGGTCTTTCTTTTTTTGTGTGCGTGTGTGTATGCTATGTTTGTAGCTGTAGAAAAGATTGTTCTAACTGACACACTGATGAAAATCTATTTTCAGTGTACAAACACTGACATGATGATAATTTTATTATGTTTGCCGTTACATCATTTTCGAAGGCTGATCTGTCATAATGTCTTTACTTTACTAATGTATCTTTTCTTAAGTCTTTGAGAGAATAAGGTTTCAAGCTTATGAAATATTAATGGTTCTTGGGCAAATGAAAGATCTGCTTCAATGCTTTTTGGGGAAATGGACAAAAAATTGACAAAATGTACATAGCAGTGATGCATGAGTGGTTTCCTGTATGAAGATTCTGGGGGAGAAATGGCCATATTAATTAAGTTGTATCGGAATCTTAGTCTGATTCCAGAGTTTTATTCAGTGGCGGGATACAAACCTAGCAGATTCCTTCCACTCCATTTGATCTCCATTATAGAAGAGTTCCTCCATTTCACAGAACAAATCGTGGGCTTTGTGTTCTTCATCCTCTTCCTCCCCCAACAAGAACTGAACCCGCTGGGCAGGGTTGGCAACTGAAATATTAAATGTACAAGTATTATACTGTCAATATCAAGCTTTGATAAAAAGACTACATAATGACCACCTGCCCTTGACTTTACATACTGGTATATCAGAGAGGACATGTTTACTAATAAATACACAGCAAATGGCCATGAAAAACAAATTAAGATCTAAAGGCATTAATACGATAGCCAATACATGTACACTTCCCTGCTAAATGTAATTCTACTGGTTTATAGCCTGTTAGGACAATTATCACATCGTACCATCTTTGAAGACCTCTGGCTGACTGCTCTGGGTTTTGTCCCCTTCTACCTTTCGGTGTTTGTGGCGTTTATGTCGATGTTTTCTTTTTGGCACGTGTAATCCTATATATACTGCATCAGTTGATCGATGATCTAAAAATAAAAAATAATTTTAAAAATTACATAACATATTCCTGAACTATTTAATAGTATACATATTTATCAACTGAGGTCAACATTTTGACAAAGACTTATGGATTTACCTTTATTGATAGTATTCTAGGAAATTTATTTCAAAAATGCATGAATTAACTATAGCCATTTATCACTGCAATGTATTTAAGCATTTATTATTTAATCATAATATTCAGACGTCCTCGGCCAGCACCTGGTCATGTCAACAAATAAGGTATGAAAGTTAAACAAAGACCAATTTGAGGCTCATACAAATAGTGTAGGCATTATTCAAATTCAATCTACAATTTTGCTCTTTATGAAATTTAATTTTTCATTTAATAGTATCTTTCCTATGGAATTTTTAACAAAGAAAGACCTACTGAATGTATATATAGATGATGGTGTTTATATATATTTATAAATAACTGGAATGTTACAAACATATATTGTTAACTTCTTTTAGTAAACTAAGTATTGATCAATAAATTTAATTAATGATGTTGAGTATAGATCGTTTTATCATTGAACTAGACTGCACATCGTATTTTAGAATACAAATATTTCTGAGAAAACCGTGATCTAATGTCCCTACCTATGTAACTATTTAATTACAGTAAAACCTCAATATCTCCTACTTAGACTGGGTTAAAATTTTCCAATATATATGAGAATTTGAGATAATGAGGGTAAAATACCAGAAGAATTAGTGGTAGGAACAGCTTTCAAATCACCTTGACATATTTGTGTGTGAGATACCAAAGTTCAAACTGTATTTGATCAATTTTTTCACTGAGAAAACCCTCCCCCATCCCATCCAAGCTAGCTTTCCCTCCCCTATAAGCAACACATACATCTAAGTGTCTCTTTAAACACAAGAAAACATTATCTTCAGTTGGTAAATTACCCCAAAAATTACATCAACTACTACTGTACTTTTACTGTTACAGCTATGAGGTGACTTCAGTTAAACAACAGATGGTAATTACCCTTATTGCTCACAATCACATAGATTGTAAACTTAACGAGAACAGAGGGTAACAGTTTTCTGTGTCAAGTGTCTGTTTTCTACCACTAAATCATTTAGCTATGAGAACCTGCTTACAAAAAAAAGACAAAATTCCCTGTTACATCATTGTAGTAACCTCTCTGTAGCACTGCTAATTGAACAGTTTCAGGAAATACTTGCCTTACATTACAAGGTTTGCAGGCACTGTATAAAACTTTTCCTTCTATGTGATTTTTTTTATGTATTAGAAATACTGAATCCCTGTACAAGCTAGTGTCTTATCATATTTCAAGTAATTCATTCTTACAAATATATCTCTGTCATGGCTTCCAGGTACCTGGACAGGACTGGTTTTCACATTGTACATATATAAAGTATATAGATATACACAGTAAAAACTCCCCTACCCTTCCCTCAGTACCCTGCTTCCAAATCAATGTCTTCAAACAAATAAAAAGTTCACATGCATTTTCTGTTGTTATTAAAAGTGAGGAATATGGCCTTACTTCTGATATCGGAATCATCCAGCACATGTGAGGCGACAGAAATGAGTCCCTGGTCCCTGACCGGCTGCTGCTGGTTGTCCATATTAATTGTCACAGGGCTCTCCTTCCCCTGGCTGGTTCAGATGAAATAAATATCCAGTAATATGACTGCCTACACTATCACAGATTAGATTTATTTGCTGTATGGCGGGGAGTCTAATGAAGTGTGATTGGTTTTTCACTGTTTTAATTTCAATAACCTGAGGGTTGTCTACACATGATGCTTACTAATGGAGACACACAAGACAGTATCCTTTTTCCTGGAGCTGATTTTTATTTTATTCCTTGGGTCAGTTGGCGATCAACAGGTAGTTATGATTTAATTAAATACAATGTCTTTAATAGGTTCCAGCTATTTCTGCAGTGTTTGCTAGTCCTCCATTGTCCAAGGATCGTTACACAGATACTCTGCCATCTGGAACAAAATAGGACAAAACATTCTTCAGTCAATGACAAATCAGTGTACGTGACCTACTAAAGTAGGAAATATTTAGTACATACATCAATTTCATATTGCGTAAAATAATATATTTAGAACAGACTGAATAAAATTAGTATTCAGGGCTATTCAAATTCAAAGCATGAAAGATCACTAAAGTACTGATATTCATGTCTACCATACAGGGTAAATACTAATAAATGCATGCACAATAATACTTTATAACTAACTATGGATATCAGAGATTATTATTTCCCTTTTCACAGATCACCCAAAGATGCTTTAAATCAACTTTTGGTTAAAATTAAACAGAACAAATTCAGAAAAGCTTTATCTAATTTTCATGAAATTAATTTCCAAATTTATGTCTACCATGAAACATAATTTTTCACAGATATTACTCATCAATTCCCCCCCCAAAAAAAAAAAAACACACAGAAAACTGACCCCACAAAGAGTGATTTTGCTGAAATTGACTTTAAAATTTATTAACACTATTACTCTACTACTGTAACACAAGAAACAATATATATAGCAATTAATGGATACTTAAAACCCTCAATATTAAACATATTCTGGCACGTTTTTCACACTTATGTATAAAATGTATTTGTCTATTTGTTAGGTACATGTACACTTTGTAAATAGATACTTTAACATCTACCAATATTTGTCACATATCACCACCGGAGATCTTTTACTGGGAAAATTTCCAGTTAATTGTAAATAAATCAGTGTATTGGAGGATTGCCTGTTATTGGTTGATCTGAAGGCTTTGGAAATGCTGGGAAGGTGACTGGTTTTAGAAGAGACATTTATCAGCTGATTAACTCTTGATTACCAGTCTATCATACACAGTTTCCCCACTGTGTACACTTGTTATGTATTCAGTAGACAAAGTACAGACTTCTCCTGTGGGGTGTCAGGGTTCACAGATAGACAAACAAACCAAAGGGTTAACTACTTATAACTGTGGGAGATGATACATAAGTTAAACAACCCATCATAGATATCAGACTAACCACAGATACAGATAGAAAACCAACACACACACTGACGAAGTGATTCACATTTTAATGTGTGCATGTATGCATGTCTGACCTGAGAACCTACAACACACTTTGGATTATGTAAAATTTTGTCTCATTTTCATTTTACATTCTTAACCCTTTAGAATTATTTCATTCAATCATATGCATATTTATGGACATTTTATCCATGCAAATCCATTTCAGTATGATATTCGTCTCCACTCTTGTGAATAAAGAGCAAAAGGAAATCTCTAAAAATCATTTTTTTCTCTCTTAAGTTACACAAAATAAATCTCATTAAATTTCTATGGAATTTGATTTAACAAAGGAGAAAATCCTATACTTATTTATATGTACATCAGTTAATTAAAGCAAGAACAATCCCCTCCCCATTTCCAACATCATGCTTGTTAGTGACCATCAGCAAGGTTCATGTTTATACACAAGGGCCAGACATCAATTAATTACACTACGGTAACTGCCTGTAATTTCAGAGCTGTAGCGAGGTACGCATGTATACCCTATACTTAGCATCTACCTTCATTCATCAAGTCTGTAATTATTAACTTTATTATACAGTCCTTTTTTCTTAATGAATCATAATCGAGATTCTTATTTACAGCATGTTTTGAGGATGATGACCATCCAATAATGTTTGGGTGTACCTGTATATTTTATGTATTTTAACAGTGACCATATCAGCCTTGTGCCACATGCACACAGTTTACTATTCCCTGGTACATGTGAGGGAATTTCCTTGGCAGAGTCAGAGCTCTCCCATCATATGCAGCTGTATCTCTCCAATAAAATCCCAGGTTTATTGCCTGAATGAAAATAGTGCCCAATCAATTTCAGAAATCATATGCTGTATTTTTGCCTATTTGTTTTGAACCCTGTCTCAAGGTCATCAACGACTCCCTTCATGAATAGAATTAATCCGAATCACCCTATTTATTCCATAGGCTACTTATATTTTAATTACACTAATTAATGACCAAGTTTCTTCCATATGTCAAATAGTAAACATGACTGATCTATAAATTTAACTACAAACTACACAAGTGTGTCATGTTTTTCCACATTGAATCAGTTCAGAGTAACACTGAAAGAAGACCTTTTGGCCTCAATCATTATATATTGACACTTATCAATGTTGATATAAGAGAGCACATTTCTTAATGTAGCTATAACCTTGCTACAACTGACACTAAAATCTGTATAAGGTTTCAAACATTATTACCTGTAGCTAAATCAATGCAATGTAATTCCTCCAGTTAAAAGTTCACAAATTCAGCTTACAAATACTTCCTTGGAGTTGTATCACAGTAAAGTAATAAAGAAGCCTCCATTCAATGCTCTATGCTAAGACGAGATGGGAATCAATAAAAAAAAAGTAAACATCCTTTCCCTCTCTGGGGTGGTCAATGTTTTTTTGTCGTCTGCAGTAAAATATTCAGAAGGGGATATCTAGGCCCTTATATAAGTCCCCCCAGTTATTGATACCCAATGATCTCTTTTCCTCCCCGTCAATTCATCCAGAGGTAATGTTGACACGGAATATGAACCCTACGTCATCAGAAACTGCCACGACTTTTGCGACTGACTTTTGTGACGTTGATGAAAAAGGAATGGGTCAACATTCTTGATTTATCTCATTAAAGTCCAAATTCATGTCTCACTTTGTATCTAAGTCAATCAGTCATTCTAGGACTTACTACTGTACTAATGTACTGATGTACTTTACGTAATCCCCTGACCCAGATGAACTTGTGCTATCTCTCACACATTACACCAGAAGGATTGTCCCCTTAAAACTCCTTTGTGAAATTTTAAGACATTAGTTTCGTACAGGTAAAAATGAACTTGCATGATTGAAAGAAAGTCTTGATAATACAGTGTACACAAGTTATGTACACTGTATACCATTTATATTCATGTATTTCTTAATGCTGAATTCATTACTGTGCCAGACCATTCATAAATATTTATTCAGACAGCATGCATACTGACTCTTTGACCCCTGAGGTGACCTGACTTTATCCCTGGTCAGCCAATGTCAGATAAGGTCATAGAGGTCACCAGATAGGTCAGTAAGAAGATCATTTTCCCTATCCTGATTACATACAAGACAGGAAGGATCCTCTTTAGAAGGGCCATCGTCACAGCCATAGGTTTAATGTGTCCATTCTATTTCCATACAAGAGGCCCACGGGCCTTATAGGTCACCTGAGTATTGTGTAACAACTTTCAAACAATTAAATTTGGTTCGTGTTTAAACCGGAGGCCATGAAATTCACAATTTACAATTTTGAAAGAGGCACCATTGCTTATCATAATTATTAACTTAGCATGCTTACTCTATTTACTTAATACCCAGAGGTAGATCAGAGTAACAAAGAGAAAATGCACTTCCACTTTATAACCAGTTGTGCGCCTCACCCCAAAGGAACCACTGACCCAGGGCCATATATTTCAAAATTTTCCAAATTTTATCATAAAATGGTTGATTAATACCAAAGAGCAGATTTCAAAGCATTAATTTATTTTCAGGCTATGTAACCACACCCCACCCCCTTGACCCTGGGGGCATAAAAACCCACTTTGCTAGATGCACCTTTCTTCATCATAAATATATATATATATATACTTGGATCATTGGCTTAAAACCCAGAAGCAAAGAAAAATATTTACAAAGAATAAATGTATTTTTACTATATAATCAATAGAGCCCGGACTTGACACCAGAACCCCTGACCCTGGGGCCATAAAATTCACAAATCTGGAAGAGGCACTCTTGCTCATCATAACTATGTGCTTAGTTAGTTTATCTAATACCCAGGAGCAGAGAAGAAGATTTTCAAAGAAATAATGCATTTTCACTATATAATCTATAGAGCCCCGCCCTAACACCAGAACCCCTGACCCTGGGGCCATAAAATTCACAAATCTGGAAGAGGCACTCCTGCTCATCATAACTATGTGCTTAATTTGTTTATTAAATACCCAGGAGCAGAGAAGAAGATTTTCAAAGAAATAATGCATTTTTTACTATATAATCTATAGAGCCCCGCCCTAACACCAGAACCCCTGACCCTGGGGCCATGAAATTCACAAATCTGGAAGAGGCATTCTTGCTCATCATAACTATGTGTTTAGTTTGTTTATCTAATACCCAGGAGCAGAGAAGAAGATTTTCAAAGAAATAATGCATTTTCACTATATAATCTATAGAGCCCCGCCCTAGCACTAGAACCCCTGACCCTGGGGCCATGAATTTCACAATTTTAGTAGAGGACTCAATGCTCATAACATTCATGCCAATAGTTTGCCTGCTTGTTGTCCAGGAGTAAAGAAGAAGATTTTTTAAAGATTTCATTAATTTTAGTGGTTTTGGCCCCACCCCTCAGGCCCCAGGGGGGCGGGGACCATGAAATTCACAGTTTTTTTCCCCTCCACCCATATATGCTGTATACCAAATTTGGTTGAAATTGGTTCAGTGGTTTCAGAGAAGAAGCTGAAAATGTTCAAATGTTAACACACGACGCACGACGGACGACGACGGACGAAAACGGATAGCAATAGGTCACCTGAGTTACTCAGGTGACCTAAAAAAAGGAAAGTTTGTGGAAAGAGAATGAACACAAAACCTGGTAATTTTGCACTTCATAACCATGAAGTTTATCTATGAAACCTAAGTACAGTAACAATACTATATTCTAAATAAATTTTACACAGCTGAATGAGTATTCAGCTCTCAATCTCCATAAAAACAAGTACATGTATTTTTATCTCCATGATAGAACACAACATTACAGACAATGTATTGCCCCTACATAATTTTCCTTTTTTCAGAGAACAATATGCAAGGAACTCTGTACCAGTTATATTTCTGGATATATTGTTTATTTCCATTTTAAAACTATGAATTACAATTCCTATGGTCAA